AAAAAAAAAAAAAAACACACCCCAAAACCACACACAACACCACTTCTCTCTCTACCGATACTTTTCCTCAAAATCACCTAAACCCTAGATCTCACCAATCTCTGGCCACCTCCTCCATTCCGCAGGCGCCGGCCTGCTGCCGCGCCGTGCTTCATTGGGGGACCGGCAAGTCAACTTTCTCGACGTTCACTGCTTCTGGTCGAGGAGTTTCTCCAATCCCGGTGGCCATGGCAGTGCTTTGCCAGGGTCCTTGCGTAGGTCGGGCGTGCTTCTGGTCGCCGTCGCCGTTTGCTGCCTTAGGGCGGATGGTGGATGAGCTTTGTTGCTGGCTAAATCCTCGGGGTCATCCCGTCTCCTGGTGCTGTGGCAGGTGGTTCGACGGTGGGGAGTTTCGGGCTACCGACATTGGTGGTTTTTCGGGCTGCCGACGGTGGTGGGCTTCTGATTTCTCTCGGCCGGTTTGTTGGGTGTTTTTTAGTTGGAACTCGCGGGGGGGCTCAGGGTGGTTCTGGTAGGAGGATGTTCGACTTTTGTGTCCGAGTTTAGTTAGGCCTTCGATTGCAGTTTCTAGATCTAGTGGGAGTCGTACTTCTTTACCTATTGGTATTCGTGCGTATGGCTCGGTTGTGTACTGCGGTTGGGGAGGGCTAATTATTATTTATTTATTTATTTGTTGTGGAGTCCTATACCTTGGAGAAGACTCCAACCCAAGGAGAAGCTCTTATTGCGGCTGCTGAGAAGATAGAGATGTTTAGAGCAATATTCGAGCTTGATATTTGATTCTATTCAGTTTTGTACACAGTTCAGTTCGAGGGTTCTTACGCATCCAAGAACTGAAGCTGTTTTAGTTTGTTTTTCTTATTTTCATTCAAACTACTTTTGTGTTTTGCACTTAGGGATAAGTGTAGGTTTTAAGAAGTTCACGGGACGTGGCCGGAGAAATAGTTGATAGGATCGTGAATAGTGTTGGCTAGACTAAAAGGGAGTTTGAGTCTTAAGTCCATACTATGTCATTATACGATTTATTAATGAAAGAGCTCTGAAGGAAAGTGGGATACTTCCCTGAAGAGTTGTTTAAATCTTCGGTCTTTTGCTTCCGCATTTTATATTTCTTATTCATGTTCGTACGTTACTTAGCACACTCCCACTCAATTATACGTTTCAATTTACATAAATTCAGTGCCACCATTAAACTTAGGATTTATGAATCTTATGGACCAACAGGTCACACATATGGCGGATTCATCAAGATGTGTTCCCGGGCAGAATCTAATCCGCGGGCTTGTTGTCATGGTATACTAAGGTTAGTAAACAATGTTTTGACAAAGGATAACTTCGGATATTCTATCCAAAATCTGGTTATTAAACATGCCCTGGAGGAATTAATAATTAGTTATAGATAATAGTTACTCATTTAAACAAAAAAATAATAACTGTAAGCAGCATCGTGAGTGGCGGGGAAAACAGGAAGAAAACGGGAGACTTTTTGACCTAATGATCACAGAAAAAGTATTTAATAATAATAAAAAAATTTAATGTTATTGACAATTTTATAACTATTTTCAGAAATCAAAAGTTTTGATTTGGAGATGGATATTGTCCCACGCGTTGTAGAAAAAGCAAGGCTGTCGATAAGATTCTTGGAAGACCAGGCATGACATGGGATGTAGCTGAATACAAGGCCAAGAAGTGAGTCAATTGAAGAAGCTACTAGTCGGCCGGACATACTAGTATGAACTATTATATATACTTGTATGAACTATATATACTGGTTTTGTATAGTGGTTTTTTTCGGCTAGTATGTCCGGCCGACTAGTAGCTTCTTCAATTGACTCACTTCTTGGCCTTGTATTCAGCTACATCCCATGTCATGCCTGGTCTTCCAAGAATCTTATCGACAGCCTTGCTTTTTCTACAACGCGTGGGACAATATCCATCTCCAAATCAAAACTTTTGATTTCTGAAAATAGTTATAATTTTCTAAATTAAGCATCGGAAGTCAAAGGAGATGGTCTCGGGTGGGGCGCACTTACGACACGACAGCTAGCGTCACCAGCACTATGCCTGCGCCTCCTGGCCCCACCACGGTTGTTGCCCGTATTTTCGAAATTCTGAAGCTGCTCGAGCCCCTTAACGATATCTGCCATCTTGGGCCTCAGTCTGGGCTCCATGGAAACGCAGCGCAGAGCAATGGCGGCCACTTGCTGGACCATATCAATCGTGTACTGCCCCTCCAGTCGGTTGTCCATGATCCGTAACACCTTGCGTTTGTCGCCCAGATACGGCCTTGACCACTCAACGAGCTTTTGTTCCCCATTTGGTCTGTTCTTGTCGATTGCCCTTCTGCCCGAAAGCAGCTCAAGCAGCACCACTCCATAGCTGTATACATCGCTCTTTGCACTCAAATGACCTGAATTAATTAATTATTCACCACCCAAATGCTATAACAGCTTATTCAAATATGGACCAAACAGCAATTTATTTTTCTTCAAATTTAAACTACAAAAATTGCCAATGGAGCTGGCAGGGCCAGGCAAAAGGAGAAAGAGAATTAGTTACTATAAGTTATTTCTTACCGGTAGCTATATATTCTGGAGCTGCATATCCATAGGTTCCCATGACCCTTGTCGAGACATGGCTTTTGTCACCAGTCGGCCCATCCTTGGCCAATCCAAAATCAGAGAGTTTTGCATTGTAGTCCTGCCCAAATTCATAACAACTTCACAACAAGTCCGAAATAATAATTTCAAACTCCACGGAGATGATACTCAACAAAAATTTCTGGAAAAAGGATAAACGAATTTATGAATCAGAAATCGAGGATTTACGGAGTCAAGCAGTATGTTGGATGTTTTCAAGTCTCTGTATATGACTTTAGCCTCATCGCTATGAAGAAACGCAAGCCCCTTTGCGGCCCCGAGAGCGACTTTGAGGCGGAGGCTCCAAGGAAGAGGCTGGAAATACGAACCCCCTGTGAAGATATACCAAACACAGGCCATTCATATTCTATAATTTTGCGGCCAGACAAGATATATAGGTTAAAAAAGGAGGCAGAGCATGAGACTCACTTCTAAAGAGATGATTCTCCAAGCTTCCCCGAGGCATAAACTCGTACACCAAAAGTCTATAATCATCCTCCAAACAGTAGCCAATGAGTTTCACCAGATTAGGATGGGAGAACTGCCCCAGATAGTTCACTTCTGCCTATAATTAAGATGAAGGACATACATACAAACATACATACAAAATTACAACTTAATGTCACAGATTCAATACTCTCCATTACAGAATTACAACTCACCAACCACTCCCGATGCCCTTGAAAGCTTTCTTGGTGAAGCTTCTTGACGGCAATAATCATGCCTGTCCCGGGTTTAGCGGCAGCAAACGAGTTCTCATCAATCCAGCCTTTGAATACGGACCCAAACCCGCCTCCGCCGATCAAGCTATCAGGTCGGAAGTTACGAGTCGCCATTTTCAAATTGGAGAAGGTAAAGCTCTTCAAGTTTGATGACATCAAGATCTCGCCCTCCGTCCGGGGAGTTGGAGGGACCGAGCTCGACAACGTCTTGCTGCTCTCAACCGAGCTCACATATTGTGAATTCACACCTGGAGAATATGAGGAAATACCCAATTTTTGCACTCAGACTCAAATCCCCACCCAATTCAAAAAATGTAGTCTAAAAGTACCCAAATCGGTATGAAGAACCCGACAAACTTGCTGCAGAACAAACGTATTTTACCAGTATGAGCTGTGCTTTCAGCTTTGATTCTCGCACTAAAACAAATCCCCATAGCAAACAAGAGGGAACAGAAAGTGTCTTATGGAGAGATTGGTCTCAGAGTGATTCTGCACAAAACAACAGTGATTGACAAAGGAACAAAAGTAAAGTGATCAGAATTTCGAGCTACGGAAACAAGCTAAAAAGTGAAGGAAAAAAAAAAAAGAGTGATAATTTCATTTGTATTTCAATTGAGCACGCACCGACCAACTCCTTTGCAGCATTAATCAAGATATAATCATGAACAGACAAACAGTATATACAGCACATACGATACGTGTGTTTATGTAGAGACACACACACACACACACACACACAACATACATATAAAGAGAGAGATAAGGAAACACACACGTCTGTGGCTGTAGTCTCTACTCCTTGCAAATCAACTCTAAGATTGCAGTAAACACAAGAAACATGAAGAAGAGAGAGAAAAAGAAAGATTGAATAAAGAGAGGATTTAAATTAAAGAGGAGTGCACTAGGAGGAGGAAGATGAAGGTTGGGCGAAAAGGGGCATTAATGGCGGAGGCTGGTCCCCCCAACTTGTAAACTAATATTATTATATTTGTATAAAACAAAACTAGCTGCACAGAGACAAATATGGGTTGAGATTGGGTGTTTGTGCTTTTTCTCGCAGTCTCCATTGACTAGTTTGTTCAGTTAGGTTAGACTGTATTCTTCTTTTCATTGTTTTCACATCACACTCGCCCGAATACTATATTACATGCACTAGGCAGGTTTCGTATAAAAGGATTGAATTGGGTATAAATGAGAATGATGTGTAATGAAAATAATAATAATAAATTATAGTTATTAGATTGGATGATTTAATGGCAAAAAAAATAAAAAAAGATTGTATATTCATTAAGGATAATTTGGTCATTACCATTACACATTACCATGCCACATCACCACCCGCACACCTAATACACAGACATACACAGTTACACACACAACACATGCACACACCAAAACTAACACACACTCTGTACACACATTAATCTCTCTCTCTCTCACACACACAAGTATACACATACACACACATTGTAGTGCCCCTTTCGTTTCATATAATTTCTCTCATTTTATTTTGATTATTTGCATTTTATCTTAGTTTAGTTGTTATGTTTTATTTTATTTATTTGCTTGCAATTTAATTTATTTATGTGCTACTCTTATTTTATTTTATTTTATTTTATGAGCAAAGCTTGTATTTAATTTTTATATACATGGCTTGATTTATAAATTTCTTGCATTTGATTATTATTATGTGCTCGTTTTTATTTGATTGCCCTTATTTTATATAATTGCATTGTCTTTATACTTTTTAGTTTTTGCTCTCATCTTTATGTTATGTGTATGGCTTAATTGAATTAATTCTTATTTATTAGTTGGTTCGTCCGGTAATATGCGGTTCAATCGCATTGAACCGTCTTCTAACCGTTTTTACCAATTTTCGGTACATTTTATTCGAACCTTGGAAGTTTATTTTTCAGCCCGTATACCTTGAAAAAATTGGCCCTTCACTTTGCTACTCCCCCCCCCCCCCC